CTGTGCAATTGTTTCCTGTTATTTTTAGAGATATGAGATCTCATTGTCATATTTATTCTGACAAAGACAATCCCAAGGTTAGGGGAAAAAAAATCCGATGACAATTTTGTAACGAAATTTTTTTGATGCTGGACCATTATTATAAAGAAGAATTGAATATTAAAAAATAAACCTGATAATATTGTCATATATATATATATATAAATCATTGAGCTAAGTTGACCTTTCGAATCCGTGGCTCGCTTCTCTCATTGATTAACATCTATGCGGAAAGTAGTATATCCGGTCAACGAATAGCCTCGACAACATTACGGATACAAAGATTAATTACTATCTATTTTATAATCACCTATGAATCACTGACCATAGACCTCTATCATTAGGTATCAATCTTCTTTATTTCCCTATATATTTCGTAAGTTTTTTTTTTTTTCTTTTTTTGTATTTTATAACTTTCGAATAGAAAAAAAATTCATACTAATTAAAATTAGTTCAAAATTAGAAGCACATTGTTAGTATTCACTAACGATTATAAAAATTAAATTATCCTTAGCTTTGAATATGTAAAAAAATTGATAAGATTTCCCCTGCCAATATTGGCCCAATATTCACCCAAGATTGATAAGAATTCTTCTATTAGCCGTGCAATGCTAATACAAAATTGATTAAGCAATCCTGAAAATTAATCATCAAATTCTGTAATTTATCTATTAAAACTGGCACCCAACATTGCGCCAATATTCACCCTAGTTTTGTACCAAAGTTTAATAAATTGTATAATTATTGGCATAGAAAAATAATTAATTAATTAATCGTACAAAATTAGCTGAATATAAATTTACTATACTGTAATTGATTAATATTGGCAGCCAGGAGAAGGCCCATATTCGTCGAAACTGACAATAATTAATAGTACTGCAAATAATTGTTTAAAATTATCAAGGAGTAAAATTAGACTAATTCTACTAACATTAATTGCAATAATAGACAATTGTTTGGATAAAAATTATATTCCAATATTGAACCAATATTGGCCCAAGATGGGCAATTAATTCTCGATTAATGTCGATGTGACAATTTCCCTTGTGCCTAATATTCGTCAAATACTGGCTCTAATGTTAAATTTTAGGTAACTTGGGCGAATGTTGGTTCTAACTTGGGTGCCAATTTTAATTAATTTCAATATTACGATTCTAAACTTCTAATGTGCGTCTAATATTGGAGTCGAATGTTAATTGATTAATTGCAGCACTGAATTTCAAACTTGGGGGAATGTGGGGCTAAGCTTGGATGCCAATGTTAATTGCAGCACTGATTACTATTCTAAACTTGGGAGAATATGGGGCTAATATTGGAAGCCAATATTTATTATAGCATTTACAAGATTAGGAAGCAAAACTAGGGTAAATATGGGGCGAATCTTGGATGCCAATGTTAATTGAAGCAGTGATTACTATTCTAAACTTGGGAAAAAATAGGGCTAATATTGGAAGCCAATATTTATTATAACATAGACAAGATTGGATAGCAAAACTAGGGTAAATATTGGGCGAATCTTGGGTAATTAATTAATTACTCCACTGAATTTTTAAGTTGGGCGAATGTGGGGCTAATCTAGGCTGCCAATTTTAATTGATTAATTGTAACACTGATTACTATTCTAAACTTGGGCGAATGTGGGGCTAATATTGGGAGCCAATATTTATTATAGCACTTACAAGATTGAGGAGCAAAACTAGGGCAAATATTGGTCGAATCTTGGGTGCCAATAATAATTAATTACTCCACTGAATTTTAAACTTGGGCGAATGTGGGGCTAAGCTTGGGTGCCAATGTTGATTAATTTCAGCACTGATTACTTTTCCAAACATGGGGGAGTATAGGGCTAATCGTGGATGCCAATATTTATTATAGCATTTACATGATTGAGGCGCAAAACTAGGGCAAATATTGGTCGAATCTTGGGTGCCAATATTAATTAATTACTCCACTGAATTTTAAACTTGAGCGAATATGGGGCTAAGCTTGGGTGCCAATGTTGATTGATTAATTTCAGCACTGATTACGTTTCTAAACATGGGGAATATAGGGCTAATCGTGGGTGCCAATATTAACTAATTACTCCACTGAATTTTAAACTTGGGCGAATGTGGGGCTAACTAGGCTAACTAGGGCAAATATTGGTCGAATCTTGGGTGCCAATATTAATTAATTACTCCACTGAATTTTAAACTTGGGCGAATGTGGGGCTAATCTAGGCTGCCAATTTTAATTGACTAATTGCAACACTGATTACTATTCTAAACTTGGGCGAATGTGGGGCTAATATTGGGAGCCAATATTTATTAAAACATAGACAAGATTGGGAAGCAAAACTTGGACAAATCTTGAGTGCCAATTCTAATTACAGCATTTACAAGATTAGGGTACAAAACTAGGGCAAATATTGGCCGAAACTTGGCTAACAATACCTGATAATTTAATCCCAATTTTCTCGCAATCAGTTCTTTGTTTGATTTTTCAGTTCTTTATACAAAAAGAATTTTCTTTTTATCCTTTTTTTCATTCATATAATTTTCTCTCTTTGAGAATACTTTTTTTTTATTCTGCATTTTTTTCTTCTTTTTGTCATGTGTCTATAATACTTTTTCTTCTTATTTGTTTCCCATATCTTTTTCTCTCTTTTTTTTCCCCCATTTTTTTTCCTCTCTGTAACCTTTTCTATTCAGTTTCTTTTGTATACATCTAAATCGATTGCTCATCAAAAGTTTACACAATATAAAAATACTTGACCTTATGTAAATTAATGCCTTTAGTATTCAAACATTTTCCGTTCAATTTAATCGTGAATAAGTTATTTCTATTAAATGTATTTTTCTCGCGACTTTGACAATAAGTATATAAATGGCATTTCTTTTTTTTTTTTTTAATTTCAACCTACATATGAATTTTAAAAAAAAAATTTTTTATTTTTATTTTTATGCAAAATGATAATTATGAAGAATAATATTTTATGACTGGTCTTATAAAACTAAGAGTGTTACGAGACGCGAGAAATAATAATAATACTTGAGAATTTACGACACTAGAGTAAAAGAGAAGCAATTTTTTTCAGCCACGAATATAACTTCTTAACTTTTATATATACGCTGGCCCGGAAGTACTTATGCATTCAATGCAGTAGTACCTTTTCATATTATTACGCAATACGCGCACTGTAAAGGAAAATTGGATCGAGTTGAACAGTAAAGCGTCTAAATTCAACTTCACAAAACGTACACTTCATTTTTTTTTTTTCTTTTTTTTTCTAGAATTTTTATGATCTTTTTCTCAGGAGGCAAAAAAAGATGTTTCCTTTTTTTTCTGTAATTTATATCAATATTTTTTTTTTTATGAAAAATTTTCAATTAGAATCATTAAGAAAATATTTTTTTTTTAAAAATAATTATTAATTTTTTATGGTGTGAAAAGTTAAGATATCGGAAATTAATTATACAAATCAGAATGAAAATTATTTATAGGGCTTATATATAAATTACATTTGTAAATTGAGGGGGAAACATTTTGGAAAATCGGATTACGCCCCTATCTTTAAGACTCTCGCACTTATCTCGTCATTAATTACACTAATTGCTCTGCTCGTTTCATTTTCACATGTATATGTGTATATATGTATAAGCGATCCAAAATTAGGTCGCAATGGCTTATCATATGTCATCAGGGACGTCATTTTGAAATTGCTGTGACGAGTAGATTTATGACCAGACGGTATGAAGACCGATAATAATGATTAAATGAAAGCTTACTTCCGTGTCCACCTCTTTAAATTAAAATCGCGAATCTCATGAGATTTTTAATATCCTACATGAACTTTTTATCCTTCTTTTACTTCTAAATCGATTTCATTTTCTCTATATTCCAAAATTTATAAAATTCACTGATAGTGAAAAAAAAAAAAAATTTTTTTACTCTCTAATCAAATTTTCATAAATAAAAATAATTTAAAAAAATTAGTTCTCTCACTAATAATTCTCAATTTACAGTACTTAGTACTTTATTAATTAATTCATCAATAATAATAAAACAGTAATAACTATAAACAGTAAAGTAATTAAATTATTAATTTCAGATAGAAATTATTATCAGCGTTTTATAATTCATAATAATGACATTTATCATTCATGTAAATTGATAACTATTTTAAAAAAAAAATTTTTTTATAATTAACAAATTTATGTGAATTATAATTTATTAAGAGAAATGACTAATTGGAAATAAAATGAGAAATATTATATATATATATATATATATATATATATATATATATATATATATATATATATATATATATATATATATATATATAATGTTTTCGAAACTTAATTGTGAGACACATTTTAAATTAGTAGAGAGTAAATTGCTCAATATTTATTGATTAATTAATTAATGAAATTCAATGATTTATCTACTACTGCTTTTATAAATGTAAACAAATTCCGAGGAAACGAAAATTAGAAATTCAAATTATTACTCTTTTGTTGACGACCAGTTTCAATTTTAAAATGTTATATTATAACAAGAGAAAATTCATTGCCAAACAGAAAATTGTTTTTGTGCCAAAATAATCCGAGTTGTTTGTATATATATATATATATATAGAAATTTTCATAAAGCAATATATGTATAAAATTAAATTAAGCGCGAAATAAACATTTAAAAAAAATTTAATATTAATAACAATTTAATAAAAAAAAAAAATAATTTTTCTCCTTTCTTAACAAAAGGGAAATAATTTTAATAATAAAAATCAACAATTATAAATAATTGTAACAATAAAAATTGCAAAAAACGAACTTTTGTTTTTGTTCTCTTTATATATATATATATTTATTATCTAAAATAAATGTAATAAAAAGTTTTTGTTTTGCATTTTTTTTTTCAAATATTGCAAAAATAAAACTATTTTTTTTTTTTGGAAAAGTAATATTTGGATAACTTACTGATACAGTGGAAACTTCATATATTTTGGACACTTACCTAAAACAAAAAAAAACGAAATACCATTAATTTTTTTCATAAAATTTTTTTTAATTTAAAACATACATTTTTTTGGCACAATTTTTTTTTCTGTCTAAATTCAATGGAATTAAAAATTAATTATAATAAAAATAGGATTTTTTTGTTTTTGCTACAAAGTTTTATTATAATTAGTATATATGTATAACAATATTATATACTAATTAAACTCAAACTACACTTTAGATTTAGTGAGTTTTTCTTTATAAAATTATATGATAATATTTGTTCTTTTAATAATAAATGTATTTTTTTTTTTTAATAAATATATATATATATATATATATTTTTTTTATATGCGAGAAAGTTGAAAATGTTTGCCATGAAGCACTGAATTGCGTGAACTTTGAAAGAGCTAACTTTGAAGTTTCTGCAGTTTCTCGAGTTAGTTTCGCCTAAAGCTGCTTCTTGATTACGAAAACAGAATGAAAAGGGGGGTTTCTTCCGAATGGGAAGCTTCTATATAGCTATAGCTTCAAGTTACATATTTCAGTGTGTGAACTTGGATGAATCCAATAAAGTTTCTGCTTAAGCGGATCAAATAGATATTTGAGAACTCTCTTATATATATATATATGTATATATATATATATATATATATATATAAAATATCTTGTCCGTGAAATGCTCTTGTAAACTACACATTTTCCATGAATATGTATAATCATGAACCTCAGAAAGTCTATGCATATTTCGAAAATTAAATTAAATTTTTTTTCCTTTTTTATTTTACACAATAATTGTGTATAATTACTAATTAGGGCTCGAGGTGAAAAAAAAATATTATTTTAATATAAACATAATAATAATAATAATAATAATAATAATAATAATAATAATATTTTAATATAAACATAAAAATAAAAAAAGGAAAAAAATTTGTAATTGCTTTATTGTTAAATTTTTTCAATTTAGAAAAAAAAATGAATTACTAAAATTTTATTTCAAAAGTTTTATTTTTTTTTTTTAAAACCCCCTTTTTTTTCTTTGATTTTATTTGGAAATATGAGAATGAAAAATGTTATTGGCAAAAATGTAAAATATCGAAGTACAAGTATAGAATTTGATTGTTCGTTAATAAAAAAGCAAACGTAATTTTTGAAACAAATGTTACAACCATTAAACACGAGAATATCAATAGCTTTTGAAATCGATACGTGAGGCATTTCTATGCCTTTTTTTTATTAATAAATTCTGATACGTATTTTTATATACCAATATATATATATATATATATATATATAGAACGAGTATTTACATGTAGAACGTGTCAAACATCGACCAGATTTGATTACAGAGAAACGTGAGTAAATGAATCTCCAATAATTTGATTCCATGGCTTTTAGTATTTAATTGTTAAATGTATTTAAATTATTTCACTATATTTTAGAATTGATTTTACATATTTTAAAATTAACTTGGAAATTTCAAAAATTTACAAATGTGACATTATCCCTTCATATTTGATTTGGAAATAAATTTTTTTTTTTAATAATTGTTAATATTAAATTAAATCATTGAATTTCTCTTAAATTATTAATTACTACATTATTGGCTAATGCATAAATTAATTATTTTTTACAATTCATTAAAGTAGTGTTAAAATATTTTCTCCCATTATAAATTATTGAACTATTTATCGAGCAAGTTAATAAATTTTTCGAATCGATGATTTTTTTTTGCATCTGAAACTATAAATAACAAAGTGTATACAAAAACGGTTCATTAATTACTCGATTAAAAAAAGTAAAAAAAAAATTAATTACTGATTTATAAATAGCTAATTTTTAAATCGAAAAATATTAAATATATAAGTTTAATTTTCACAATTTTTAATTTCATGAAAATGTAAGGGAAAATTTGTACCTAATGTGTTTAGGTGTACACCCTTGAAACTTAAGTAGTTCTTAAGTAATCTCTCGAGCTTTGAGAAATAATATCATAAATTACGGTGTGATGCAGTTATATTCCTGAGAAAATATCTCATAGAAACGATAACGCGCACATGGCATAATCCACAATCGTGCGACCAACAAACCACTGAGCCAAGAAATTGTTGTAGAGGAGTAAAACTTTAATTAACTTGGTTATCATATCATTTTTTTTTGCTCAACAAAAAAAAAACAAAAATAATTACTTTTTACGTTTAAAATTTGTTTATTAATATAATTACTGTGTGTGTGTGTTTGCTTCAACTTCAAATAAAATCACAGTGTATTAATTTTTTTTGAAAATACCGATGAAATACAAAAGGCCGCCATATTGGATCAGCCATTTTGAATTTTGAAAAACTAGCGACCCCAAAAACCCCCGAGTAGTTTTTTTCATAATTTCAATTTTTTTTGCCCGCCATATTGGATCCGCCATTTTGGATTAATTAATATTAGATTTGAAATAATTTTATAATAAACAAAAAATAATTTAAAAAAAACATTTATTTCCACTTTTTTGATAAATTAAAATTATTTTGTTACTTTAAAAATTTTGTCCAACAAAATATTTTTGTTACAATCAAAAACATTTTTTTTTCTATACCAATGTAAAAGAAAAAAAAAATTTTCTTTATTTGAATTTTACTTTCAGAAACAAATATCAACATCAAATAAAATGTTTGCAAACAGTATTTTATACATAAAATGATCATATATATATAAAGTAAAAAATGAATAAAAATAAAAAAATTGTCAGGATCAAAATATAAAACGCAGAGGGCAAATTTTATTTGTCTTGATATTTTTTTTTTCTCCCTTGAAATGGATAACGAATATAATGATAAAATATCATCAAAAACTGTGAATGTCCCATATTCCATATGATGTATGGAGATGGGACAGGTATTTAGATTGCATAATGTGTGCCATTATATAGATAATACTATAACTCCTGATTCATCGCAATCTTATCACGTAACACACTCGCTTCTCTCCATTTTCCACACACACAGATATACACTGTCCACATGACAAAATTAGCCAATTCAGCAAAAAAAAAAAAAAATTTATTAAAAATAAAACAAAATGTTAAATAACATTTTTTTTTCTGCAGTTTAACATTTTTAAAAATCTTTTCAAATCCATTTGATCGCAAAATAATAACCAAACAATTAACCTCGTAAATAATTAATATTTTAATTATTTAACAATAATTAAGTAGAATAATAATTAATTATCAACAAATATTAATTATTTAATTATAATTTACTTTCTATAATAAATAAACAATTTGCATTAATTTTTGAATTTATATTAATGTAATTTATTTAAATATTGTATCAATTTTTTTTTTAATTCGTAAATAAAAAAAAAAATTTGCAAGACATTTTTTTTTTTTTTGCAAATTAAAAAAATTTTAATTTCTTTTCATTTAAAGTGTCGTCTTTTCACTCATTCGAAGAGTTGAATTTGTGACCACGAAAAATCTGGCGGTCAGCCACACATCATTTTAATGACATGAACATCGTTCAACGCTACTCGAATTTTAATGCGATTTTGGCAAGAGACATTTTTGCTAAAGCATTTTGCACACGTGGAAATCAGGAAAAAAGAAAAGGAACATCTCGTACATTTTGTCATAATTCAGGAATAAATTCATATAATAATAATAATAATAATTGCGCGCACGCGTCTGGAAAATTTTTTTTTCACTTTCATTTATCTTATAAAAATCATTTTTTCTCTAAAATTTTACAAATTTTTCCGTTTTCTTATTTTAATGACAAACCATTTGTCATAAATTATATAAATGACATAAAAATCATTTGTCATAAATTTTATTTTGACAATAAAAAATTTATAATAAATTTCATTTGACATAAAACTTATTTAATCATAAATTTTATTTGACAATTAAAACTCACGTGACATAAACTCCATTTGACAATATGAAGCTCACTTGACATAAATTTTGATGAAAAAAAAAAAAATTCATTTGACTTAAAAATTCATTTGACATAAATTTCGTTTTTGAGATAAATTTCGTTTTTGACATAATTCTAAATTTGCATAAATTTTATTTAACTGAAATTTCACTTGGCATAAGTATCACTTGACATAAATGTTACACTTTTGGTAAGTTTTATGTCAAGTAAAATGTTTATGCCAAGTGACACTTATGTTAAGTGAATTTTTAGTCAAGTGCAAATTATCTAAATGAAAATTTATGTCAAGTGACACTTAAGTGATTTTTATGTCAAGTGTTGTTTAAGTCCAAGTGTTATTTATGTCAAGTGACACTTAGGTTAAGTGAATTTTAAACCAAGTGTTATTTATGCCAAGTGACACTTAAGTGAATTTTTTAACAAGTACAAATTATCTCAATGAAAATTTATGTCAAGTGTTATTTAAGTCCAAGTGACACTTAGGTTAAGTGAACTTTTAGTCAAGTGACACTTAGGTTAAGTGAATTTTTAGTCAAGTGACACTTAGGTTAAGTGAATTTTTAGTTCAGTGCAAATTATCTCAATGAAAATTTATGCCAAGTGACACTTAAGTGAATTTTTTAACAAGTACAAATTATCTCAATGAAAATTTATGCCAAGTGACACTTAAGTGATTTTTATGCCAAGTGTTATTTAAGTCTAAGTGTTATTTATGTCAAGTGACACTTAGGTTAAGTGAACTTTTAGTCAAGTGACACTTAGGTTAAGTGAATTTTTAGTCAAGTGACACTTAGGTTAAGTGAATTTTTAGTCAAGTGCAAAAATTATGTCAATGAAAATTTCTGCCAAGTGACACTTAAGTGAATTTTAAACCAAGTGTTATTTATGCCAAGTGACACTTACGTTATGTGAATTTGTAGTCAAGTGCAAATTATCTCAATGAAAATTTATGTCAAGTGAAATTTATGCCAGAAAACTCATATGTCAAGTATACATTATCTCAAAGGAAATTTATGTCAAGTGAAACATAAGTGAATTTTATGCCAAGTGATATTTATATCAAGTGTTTTCTCTTCATGTCAAA